GTTGGGGGGCAAAACATGAGCATTTTCAGTTGATTCAGGACCAGAATCAATTTTTTTTTTTTGCAAATCAGAAAAAAATGAAGAGGCGAATCCGAGAACCAACAAATTAAATTGGTGTGGCCTTATTTAAAAAACAACATTCACATTGAAAAATAATACATCTAAACTAACATATATACAAAAGACACATATAAAATTATTAACAACAGATATGCACAAAGTTGCTTGGTCAGGCTATACAAGTTCCAGTGTAGGTTCAAGGTAGGTTATTGTAAAGTCTAATGGTGTGGTGCAGGAACGACTGTTGCAGCCGTTTGGTTCTTGCATGAGGAACAGTGATGTTGTGACTGTTCCTCAGCGATCTTCCTGTGACAGACTGTCTCTGGGCAGGAACCAGGTCGTGCAGGGGGTGTTCAGGATTCAGCATGGCCTTGAAGAGAGACACAGCAGCGGCCTCTCTCCCTCAGGGACGGCATTGTCGGTACGGAACGTCTGCCGCTGCGTGAGATAATCCGGAGGGCACGCCTCTGGACCCTCTCCATGCTCGCTGCCTGCTCCTCACTACAACCGACCAACAGAACGTGCCCATACTCCAGGACAGGGCGGATGAGACTCAGGTACACCTGGACGAGATCTTGCACACTCATGCCCTGTTTTGTCAGCAGAAGGAGGTAGTGGAGCCTGCTCGAGGCCTTTGACACCATAGACTTCACGTGTTCGCGCCAGGAGAGTTTGTTGTCAAAGATGAAGCCAAGCCCCTTGGCAATAGTGGTGACTGGCACAAGCTCGCCCCCGAGAGACAGAGGTGGCATTACTGGAGCGTTTCTGCTGAAGCACTGAACATGCAACAGTAACCACAGTGACTATACAGTACAATAAGGATAGTAACTACTCCTGTCCTTTGTACTGAACATGCAACAATAACCACAGTGACTATACAGTACAATAAGGATAGTAACTACCCCTGTCCTTGGTACTGAACATGCAACAATAACCGCAGTGACTCTACAGCACAATAAGGATAACTACCCCTGTCCTTGGTACTGAACATGCAACAATAACCACAGTGACTATACAGTTGTACTGTACAATAAGGATAGTAACTACTCCTGTCCTTTGTGCTGAACATGGAACAATAACCACATTAGAACCATGGCTTAAAAACAACCAAACAGC